GAAGCCAAGTTGTGAAAGGTTTTAAAAACCAAAGAGTATTTTATCTTGAACCCTAGAGGACATAAGGGGCTACTGGAGTTTACTGAGTAGATGAATGACATAGTCAGATCTGTGCTTAAGGGAAATCACATTGATTGCTGTGTGAAGAATGGATTGCAATGAGGAGAGACTTGAGGTAGGGTATGGGACTATTGCAGTAGCTTAGAATTGATTAGAACCTAAACTATGGTGGTAGCTGTGTGAGTAGAAGAGATTGGATGTGAGAGATATTAGAGAGGTTGAAATGGGAAGATTTGGAAACCGAATAGATATGTGGGGTGAAGGAGAATGATACCAAGTTGATGATCAGGGACACTAGATGAATAGTAGTATAGTCAAAAGAAATAGTGAAGTTTGGTATATGAGAAGGATTTTTTTTGGTGGGCTGGTGGTGTAGATAATGAGTTTTCTTTTGGATATGATGAATTTGAGATGTCTCTTGGACATTCAGCTTGATATTTCTAATAGACAGTTAACAATATGTTACTGGAACTCATGGGAGAGAATGAGTTTGGAAATATGTCTCTCTGTCCCTCTCTGTCTCTCTCTCTCTCTCTGTCTCTCCCCATATATGTGTATAGATAATTAGGAGATACACATATATATCATCTGCATAGAGATGACAAACACATGAAAGCTGGTGAGATCACTAAGAAAGAACACAGAAAGACAAGTGAAGAGGGATCAAAATGAAACTTTTAGAACACTCATAGTTTGGGAATATGACATGGATAATGACCAATAAAAGGAGAATAGGAGGAAAATATGTGTGCAGTTATACTAGTACGGGAGAAACCAAGAAAGAATATTACCATGAAAACCCCCAAAGGAGAGAGAATCCAAGAGAAGATGGTTAGTAGTGGCAAATCCAAGAGAGAAATATAAGGGAGGTGGAACGAGAAACTACCATGTTCTTGTTGTTGTTGTTTAGCTGTTTTCAGTCATGTCCAACTCTTCCTGAACCCTTTTGGAGTTTTCTGGGCCATTTCCTTCTCCAGCTCATTTTACAGATGAGGAAACTGAGGCAAACAGGGTTTAAGTGATTGCCCAGGATCACATAGCTAGTGTTATGTAAATGTTATGTATTGGGACCTAATTAAAAAACTGAATTAATTTTCTGTGGTTCTGAGAAATTCAGATCCAAGTTTCCCCCCATTTTCTTGAATAACTTTGTCTAGATTTTTTAAAATGCAGAAATTACTGGTTACACATAGTCCTTGAGCTGAGTCTAAGGCTTACTCACTTTTAGATATCCCCAAAAGTAAGTATGTATAATTATACTTGTCTAAATAAATATTTGTCAGTTAAAATCACTATCTTCTTGGGATTATCAATTTTTAAAGATGTATGCATACTTTTAAAGAAGTATACATACTTATTTAGGGTTAGAGATAAATTCTCTTATGTGTACTCTTTCAGGGATAAGATGAACAAATGGATTTTGCCCACAAAGAAGACTCTTATCAGGCAACTGAATTTTCCACAAGAAATTTTCAACTAATAGAATCCCAAGACTACAAACTAGTAATGGTATAGAATGAAACCATTAATAGTTTATGTCTATGTGAACAATTAAATAGTCTCTATCCTGAATGCGAAATGAACAGTACATAAAAAAAATTAAAGGTAGCTTTTATGTGGGAAATCATGTAAGTCTGGAAATCAAACCAATAATTAAGAATGTTTAGAAGCTTTTTTTGGGGGGGTAGAAAAATTAACAAAAAAGAGGTGATGTACTTTATTTTTAAAAATCATTTATAAAATTACAGTCCCAAATGGGAATGATTAAAACAAAAAACCTTTCCTACATAATTTCTCCCACTTCCTCACAAATATTTTCCTGAAAATGAGGAATGTTCAAGTGGGAGAAATATGCAAAGGAGTGCTCTTCATAAGGAACCAATTTTATTTCAGAAAGTATGTCAATAAAAGCATCAAGCATAGAAGTGGCACAATGAAATTCTATGCTACCATGGCACCGTTGGTGGCTAAATGTAAGGTTAATGTGGTTTATTTAGAGACACTTAAAAGTTCATTTTAATGATGTTTAACTTTGAGGTCAAAGTGTACAGATCAAAGTATATCTCACTTCAAATGGTAATCTAAATGTAACAAATGGTTTTAGGGGCTGCTCAGAAAATATGACTCTTTCAAAAAGAATTTGGAATCAATTAGCTGAATTTTATTGGCACCAACACCAAAATATTTCCTCTATCCAGAAAAAGTTCATCAAGAGGTCATCTATTCTTTTCTATGAAAAGTGACATTTCTTATGTTGTTCTGTGTACATCATATGTGTTATCTAATATCCCAAGTATAAGCAAAGATAATAGTCAGTTATTAGCAGTTTGGGTTCTTTTTGTCCAGCTAAAAATCTCAAATATGATTATTCCATTAGGTTATATATTATTCAAAATTTCTAAGGCCTAATGAAGATGGCATTGGATTTTCTTCCCACTACTTCTATAGCTTGTTCACTCAAGTTTAAGGCACCATGAATTCTTACTAAACAATTTCTGTATGCTTTGGGACCAAATGTACTGTGAAGAAAAGTCAGTGTTGCTTATATCGGCACTAATGTGTGGAAAGGTTCATCCAACTAGCTATACAAGAAGACAAATAAGTTGGCTATTTCATGGTTTTCCAGTCATTACCAGAATTATTTGAATGTTTGACACTTGGTTATGTCCTTTAGCTAAATCAAAACAACCAAGTGTTTTATTAAATTATCTGTTATGCCTGATATTCATTCCTAAGGTTAATTTTATGAACTCAAAGAGTTTATATGCCATGTAAAGAGGATTTCCACTTCTGCTTCATAAAACTGAACATGAATATACCCTGAGAGATTTGCTTTGCTGAAATCAGTCATAAATATTCCCCCTAAAATTCTACCCAAATTTATTGTGTAAGAAAAGATCATAAGATTTAGCAATCTGGTTTGGTCTCCCCATCCATCAAAAAACCCCAAACCAAGAAAATCTTGTAGAACTGGGCTTGACTCAGTACAATCCCCTGCTAGTCTAGGTTCCATACTGGAACAAAATCAAGCATTAGTGGGTCATGAAGTAACTATACTTAGACATAGCTGAAAGCTATTCAACAAGACTATCCCAAGTTATTTTAGCTGAGTGAAATTTGCCTGACTTGCCCATTATGATCTACCAGCAAAGCAACAGTGACTTGTAGAGCTCCTTGTGATGGCTTTGTACTCAGGTGATCATGAAACGATGTCAATCCTGAGGCAATCAAGTATAAAACCTGGTCTCAATACCTTTTAAAGAAAAGCTAGTCTAACTTTCATGGAAGTAGTGGTTAAAATATTGTTCTTATTGTGGTCACCCTTTAACAAATGACTAGAAACTGATAGAAAATATTTCTTTGTAACTTTCCACATATTGAATGCCATATGTCTGATAGGGGAGCATAGTCCAGTATTCTAGAGTTGGTAAACAGGGTTGGACTACCTCAATCATTTGTCTATTGAATTGTGAGGTAACCTATACTTTCCATGAAATGAAGGCATGAACAAACATGTTACACATCTCCTGGGAACTCTGTCAGATTAACATCATGAAAATTTGCCCAGCTTGCTCATTGTAGATTTCCCAATCCTGGTGACATGTATGGTAAATGAAATGGGATCCCTAGAGTATAAATTGTTCTTTGAATGAGAAATATCAAGAATATCCAGTACTTCAAAATTGCCTAGGGTACTCTGCTTACAATTTTTACAGATACTAGTAGATTTTATTCATGAAATGCCTGTTACCAAAGTGCTTGGGGCAAGGTACATGAGTAATAAAAATGTTGGAAATGTAATGAAAATACTGTGAATGGTATAATGGTATACCAGGCAGGGAGTAAAGATGCATAAAAAGGTTTCAAGATACTTACCTTTATTTCTTAAAGACAAAACTAAAATAAATTAGAAATTGAGGCAAAGCTCATTGAACATTTTTAGCCAGCACTTAAATAATCTTGCCAAGGCTTTCTTAAGAGTGACTTTTATAGTTCTATAAGCAATGCTTGAGAAGAAATGTAATTTTTAGACAAAGAATCCCTTTGTAAGACTTTATGGAGACATAGCATCAAAAACACTTCAAACTAAGGAACATATATTTATTAAAGCCAATACTGTAATATTTGGAGTTGTGATCAAATTATAGCTGTCTTATGCAATACCTGTTATTTTGATGGTAAGATGATATGTATCCTTATCTCATTAGCAAATTTGGTATCTGTGATATAATTGTCATGTTAGTAAAAGAAATTAAATCAAGAAATCAGTGTAAATTGATTCAGAGACTCATTCAATCTCACAGTTGAAAGGGACCTTTGAAGTTGAGCTAGTTTGATTCATATCAGCAGAATTAATATTGTCAAAAATACCCCCAGGAGATGGCCATTCCCAGAGAAGTGATCATCCAGATTCTGCCAGAAAATCTCCAGTGATGTTACCTGCTACTTCTCCATATAATCTATTTCAGTTGTATACAGCTCTAATTGGTAGGAAGGTTTTCCTCATACGTAGCAAGCCAAAATCTTATTTCTATTTGCCTTTCACCCATCATTCCCTGGGCACCTGAGCTCTAAAATGAATCAAAACACATGGACTTCACACATATTCTTCAAGGAGAGAAATTCAATCATAAAGATAGGTTGTTGTACTCAGTGGTAAAATTGGAACAATTTTTTTTATATCATATTGTATCCTTTTTTTTTTTTTTTGCTATTCAGTGTTCCTAGTCTCTATTCGTCCCCTTTCCCTTCCTCCACCCCTTCCCCAACACACACGTCTGTATACTGATAGAGATCAAAGGGGAACTAACCAGTACTGAAAATAGTATATGTGTGACAGTATTGGAATAGAAAATTAATGGAATCAAAATGAATTACAATAGGATGAAAAGAATGTCCCATGTGCACTAAAATATTTATTCAATATTTTTATTTTGTAGGAACAAAGAAATGAAAACAAAGCACATGCTCATGAACTAAAGAATGCCTAAACAACTTTTATTACATAAATGTAATGGAATATTACTGAACTCTAAGAAATGCTCAATATGAAAAATACAGAGAAACATGAACTGTTACAAAGTGAAGTAAACAGAACAAGGTAAATAATGTGCACAGTGACTACAACAATGCAAATGGAAAAGCAACAAAATAATTAAAACAATGCTATGAAGCCAAACAAGCTCAAAAAATCGATATGAGAACTGACTTCCTTCCTTTCTTTGAAGAAGAGTGTGGAGGACATACAAATAATTTTAGATTGGTTAATGTGTTGATTAGTTGTGCTAATTTTTTCCCCTTTTTATTTTAAGGAATGATTTGTAACAAGGGAAGGAAATAATATATTGAGAAATGTAGGTGCTACAAAAACAAAATAAAAATAAATAAAATAAATAAAAACCAAAAGGCATTAAAACCCAAAATGAATGTTTGTCTTTCCATTTAATATGCCTCATCCCTTTGAATACCAATGCCAGCTGAGAGGCAAACGTAGTTTTGTTTTGTTTGGGATTATAGTAATTGCTTTGATTTTCTACATGATTTTGCATAATGCATAAGTAGACACAATCTTAATGCTTCTAATCATGGGTTCTTTATAGAAATCTTCATATTTTCCTTGTACATATTTAAATGACATATTTCCCCTAATTAATAATTTGGTTTTATAATATATCTTCTTTTTGTTTTCCACTTAGGAAAGTGTTGAGGTGGGCAGAAAAATATCTGTATTGTCTCAGATTTTCAGTTATCATATCATGTCTAGAAGAATACTGTACATTGAAGCAACAGACTTTAATTAAGCCCCCCAAAGTGTTGTCTTCAAATTGTCCAGGGAAGGGTGTATTTATTAGGATATGAATATGGAAATCATGAATCCTGGGGAAGACTCTGTCTTTGGAACAAAGGTTCTGATATTACATAAACAAGAGAAGTTCAAAAATCTGTACCTCCAAAAACTTCACTTGAGTGGTTCAAATGAAAAGGTAGGTTTTTCCTGTGAAAATGAGATAGCTATTCTAGTTGGGTTGCTTAAATTCTAGCTTCAATCTTGCCCTACATTTTCTCCTGTCTTATTTGTCTTCTCCTCCCATCATATCCCCAACTTCCCAATACACATTTTGCTTTCTGGATACCTTTTTTGATTTTACTAGGAACTATGACCCACATTCACATGGATCTTTTGACTAAACCTGGCCTGGACATCTTCAAGACCCTTCAACTCTATGCTATGCTTTCAGATTTTGTTATCTAGTATACCTACCAGGAAATTTCTAGGCATGCTTGTACTAACCCTTCGGTATCACAGAGTGAGACCCCATACAAGGAGACATATTTTATAAATTGTATTTATCAATTCAGAAAAAATATTTCAGATAATTATAACAGAACTACAATAGAGGATATATCAATGTCCTCCTTAAGGATGTGTCTTCAAATTGGTATAGGGTCAGTCTCCTGTTCCTGAAAGTTAAATAATTTAAGAAATATGATCTAGGCATGTTGTCAGACAGTGCTAATGTAAAGTAATTGAAAGTAGAATGTTATTGCTAGCACATATAAATGCTCATTTGGGTTTTAAACCTTTGGAGGAAAATGAAAGCAGTGATCAGTGAAAAAAAAAAGGAAAAAATTTGTACAATTGGATTTTATGTGATCTAGTCAATTTGTCAGGCAATAAGCATTTATTAAGTGCTTACTATGTACCAGGAACTGAGCTAAGCATTGGAGATACAAAGAAACCTGAACACAGTCCTTGCCCTCAAATAGTTTACAATATAATGGAGGAGCTACAATATGAAAACAATTATGTACAAGTAAGATACATACAGGATAACTTGGAGGGAGATTCTGGAATTAGTAAAGGGGAAAAAGGAGTACAGTTGTCCCTTTCACACAACAATTTTCCCCATTGTGGTTTTGATATATCACAGTTTGGCATAAGAAATTATCATCAAATGGTAGGAGAATGCACTTCCACTGCTCCCACCTCCTACTGCTAGGGGTATAACTGGATTATTCACCTCTTCCTTCTCCTACAGGATTCTTTTAATTTTCATATTTATTTCACATTTTTATTTCTTTTTTGTATGTTATTTTTACTTAACATGACATATATAGCCTATGACCAAACACTTAAACCAAATTTTACAATAAGGTACTGTAAACACCCCTAAAAGAAAAAGAAAAAAAAAATTCAGACTTCTTTGGTTTGAAGGAAAGACCAAAAATTTTTATGTGGATTTTCCAGACACTATTCCCTTAACTCCAGTGATATGGAAGGGATAGCTATTCTTTTTCTCTTTGATCACTGAGTAGACAGGGGTGAAAGAAAGTGCAGCTAGTTCTGGAAAGGATGGCAAAGTAAGCAGGATCATCAGGAGGTAACTGAGTCACAGTCAGTGCCAAAATATAGAAAGTGAGAAAGTAAGAAGTTTAAGAGTAAAGAAGGTTTTTTTGGGGTTTTTTTTTTTTTTATGTAGCCTATTTCCAGAGGACACAGAAGTGGGAAAAGGCAGATCTGCAGCAGGGCACTGGGGTAAAGGGTGTATTTAAAGTGGATAGAGTGAGTGGATGGTTGAGAATGGGACTAAGGTTTATACACTAGTATTAGAGACAGGTTGAGTATCATTAAGATAGAGAATAGAGGAGAGGTAGTATATTAATCATTGAAGAATGAGTACAGGCAGAGTATCAGTGTTTGGAGAGATGTCTTTGTTGGGAAGTAAGTAAATAGACTGTTTAAGGTCCTCCCCAAAGGCCTAACCCTGAGATAGGTGGTAATGCTGTATCCTGTAAAGCCCTGGAAATCCGTCTCATAGTGGGCAGGTATATGTAGAGGTAAGGCCCTGGGAATCCTGGACCCTAGGCAGGAGGCAGGAAGTAATTCTGTGAGATGGGTCTTATTGTCCTTCCCTGATGGCAAAGAAAGAAAGAACCTAAGGGGTGAATGACAGGTTCTAGTTCCCAATGGACGACCTGGGCCCCACTGGATAAGGCCCTGGGCAAATATGGAAGCTAGGAGGTAGGTGGTGGGGTCTTGTTTCATACATAAGTACACGTATATGGTCATTTAAGAACCTGTTGATTGCATATGATCACAGACATAGAAGAGACCTCAGAGATCTAGTCCAACTTACCAATTTTGAAAATGGACAAACTAAGGCTTGGAGAACTTAAATGACTTGCCTAAGGTTATTAAATGACAAACACAGGATATGAGTCCAAGTTCACTAACTCCAAATCCAGAATAATTTCAGCTGTACCATGCCTACCGCCTTTATAAATTTATATCTGATTTTAAGGTCAGATCAGATTATGTGTCTGGTGCACAAAAATGTATTCTTTCAAAACTGACTATTTGTTGGAATTCTAATTATAGCATTTCTTGTCTTTATCTTAATGATGCTATGTTTGGAAATATGTTTTGTATCTAAGCATCAAGCACTATATGAATTACCTTAGTAGACATTGTTATTATTTGTCTTTTAGAAATGTGACTCCTTATTGAGACAGGCTGTATATTTTAATGGGCTGTAATTTTGACTAAAGCTTTAGAAATAATGGCACTCAATATGGCTGCCTTCAAACAGATTGCATTTTATCTTGCTCCCAATTTGTGTTCAAGCTTACCTTTTAAATTCCATCCTATTAAATATTTATATTACTCCCATAACTATGACAACTCTCAAATGCATAAAATTTGAATAATAAAAATGAAAAAAAGGATTATAAGATGAAAATATGACTGTGCCCTACTTTAAGGAATTCAGATATATACAAATGAAGGAAAAAATAGATGAAGTAAGAAATTATTATTCCTACCATGATTTTTTTTTCAGTTAAGAAAAGGATCCATAAGAAGATTTGACAAGCAACTCTTCTGAAAGATTTAAGATACCATTTGATTTTCTGAAATTCAGTCCTTACAACATTGTTAAGGAATGTATATATTGCTTAGGGTAAGGTATACCTGATTTGCAGTGGATAGAGTGTCAGGCCTGGAATCAGGAAGACTCATTTTCCTGAGTTCAAATCTGGCCTCAGACATATACTAGCTATGTGACCCTGGGCAAGTCACTTATCCCAATTTGCTTCAGCTTCCTCATCTGTAAAATGAGCTGGAGAAGGACATGACAAATCGCTCCAGTATTTTGGCCAAGAAAACCTCAAATGGGGTCACAAAGAGTCAGACATGACTGAAAACAACTGAACAACAACAAAAAATACCTCAGTTAAGGTATCTATTAAAAACCTAGATCTTTTATCTACCACTATCCTGGGAATTGGGTCCATATTTTCAGGTTTCTTTAGAAGGGGAAGAAACTGAGACAAAATGGGTTTTAGTGAAGAAGTGAAAACTAGATTAAACTTTAAACTCACAGCTTCACCAGTGCATATATTAATGATTGTTGAATAAAAACAGATAAAAGATAGTACTTAAAAATATGCTAAAGTTCATCCGTTTGGACCAGAGACACTATTCTTCTGAGAAATGTGTCTATAACTTAGAGTCTTAGAGAGTTGTTTGGGGCACTCAGAACTTACATACTTGTCCTAAGGTCATATAGCTGGTATGTCTCAAAGGCAGGACTTGTACCCATGTTTTCCTGACTCCACAGCTTACTGTATTAACCAGACTGGAGGTATCAAACTCAAGGGCCACAGGAAATCAGATTAAAATGTAATAGGGAAATGTTTAATAAAATAAACAATGAATACAATACAACATAAGCAATGATAATTTGTGATTTTCTAAAGCAATATTATGCCTGCAGGGATCCAAATCTATTTGAGTTTGACAACACTGAAGTACGCCCCACTGCCCTATAGATCCCAACTGGATTAAAGTTTCAAGTATAACATGCAAAGAAATAAAAGTATTGAAACCAACGGTACTCTATTAACCCTTCTATTGTCTTTTACAAAAAGTGTTCTCTAATGTCTGCCATGGAATTGGCTAAGTGGCACAGTGGATAGAGTTCTGGACCAACGGTTAGGAAGACTCATCCTTCTGAGCTCTAATCTGGCCCCGGATACTTGCTAGTTGTGTGACCCTGGGCAAGTCAC